TGGCTTAGCGGGACTNAACCAGCTGATAACTTGCATGATATGTCATGCATCGAGACCTGCGGCCGGATAATATTCTGTCGAATTCTGAATTACAGCAGGCCCTAATCATTACTTCCATCGGTGCGCACTGGATTGCCAACCAGTTGAAAAGCGCATGGCCACCCTCAAGAGATCACTGTGCCGGATAGAGGCGCCGGATCCAAACGACTCCGCGTGATATGACCACTAAATAGTTTTGATTTATTTATAATCTTCTATTGGCGCGGCAGACTTCTGCAGGCTTGCGGCTATTGGTTGTTCCTAGCCGCCCACTGTTAACACCGCTTCTAACTGGGGCAAGCGTTTGTTCTCTCAGACTCTTATTGGAAAGAAAAAGACCATTTGAAAATGAAGGGTCTGCAAGCCATATGGGCGTCCATAATTTTAAGCAATTATGGCAAACCATACGGTGTAGTTAACCGTATGTCGTAAACAACCACAAGGGCGTACCAACCCCATAGTTAACTACAATTCTAATCAATTATGGTAACCCATGTGGTATAATTCCCGTATGGGATAGTGAACCATATGGCGGACCACAATTTTACCAAGATTGGCAAGCCATGTGGTATATGTAACAGTGCGCTGCAGTCAACTGTAAGGGTTCGCCAACCTTAGGGTCGGCCACGATTTTTCTCAATATAATAAATTGTGGGGCACAATTCACCACATGAGGCAACTAATCATAAAGAACTAACTAACTAGTTAGACGTCGGGTCCACCGGACCTCCACCAATGAACACACAATACACCCCTTTCCAACACATTTTCTGTCGGAGCATATGGACTTCCTGTGCCACCTGCCCTGGGTCGACCTCGCTTAGTCATAAATTATGTGAGCTAGATTCCTAGATAGTTTGGCACCCCATACAACTAGTTAAGCATCCATCGCTTCCACATTTTCCTTAAATCACGTGATCTGTTGGACGACTTGAATCACACGTATGGAGTACCATTTTCTAAAACCTTCGGCTAGTGTTCCTCCCACGGTTGTTCCCTAAAAATGTGGAAGAAAGCGCTGCTGCGGAGCCTCCTGATCGACCTATGCAGCAACTGGACGCCGAACTTCTACGATAAGAAACTACGAAAGATCACTCCAGCGCAGTGCTTTCGAGCGGCGATAGAGGATGGAACCAGCACTGTCTTCATAGCTCTCGAGGGTAAACTGATTATCAACGAAGAAATGATGGAATCCGTCTCACAGACGCTCGAGACTGACACGGGGATAGGGAGAAGGACAAAGCGTCGTGTAATATTGCTGGCCAATTTGTAATCATTGTGGTATCTTGACAGTAGTCCTGAGTCACCAAAGGTCGAGGGTAGATGGTCCCAACGCCTCGGCGGTCCTGAGGCCAGCATGGCCAGCGGTTGTCGGTCCCTTGCCCAGGCCGGTCCTAGGACCGCGGTCCCAGGACCTGTTGGGTCCTCTGTCCACCGTGCCAGGCAGAAAGAGTAAGGTCCCTGGACCTGCCCACCAGGCCTTACACTCGCGGCCTTGGTAAGTCAAACCTAAAACAGTTGGACTACGACATGATATAGAGGTCTCAACACCTACATCAACTACCGTAGGACACTAGATCTACAACCTCATCGGACCTTGGACAACAAACCCACGCTTGAGTCAGGCCTGAGACTGATGACCTTTTTCTGCTCTGGACAGAGGACTACAGAGATCATACGTCCATGTCCCCGCAGCAACTGGGGACCTAGGATACCTACGCGTCAAGTCAAATATCATAGTCATAGAACATGCATTCTCTTGTCTTCTTACTGAACC